CTTTTTTCTTTTTTCCCCTACTATTAAAAATTGTTCCGTGTATCTACTATCTAGAAACAAGATTACATTTTGAACTACATTCTATCTCATAGCATATGTTTCTTAGCAGCATATACCACAGTATCTTATATTTTATACTTTCTCTCTTTTTGAATGACCAGTCTCATCTCATATTTTCCTACGTCTTTAAATAATGAGGCTATTTCAAGTATTTCAGAATGAGTAATTAATTGCCTAGCTTGGAATCCGTCTGGTATAAAAGTATTAGTGGCTGAATTAATTTTCAACTTATAACTGTTTTCATTTACACCTACTTCCTTGGTAGTTATTTAAGGCAATTTCATCTTCCCCGTCTGTGGCTTATGTGTTAATGTATTTCATTTTAATGAAGACTCTTTAAGCTGTAGAAGTAGGCCAGACGCTATCAGAATGCGTCATAAGTGGAGAAATTTGACTCAAAGATAAATCTTTCAGACGAAAAGGTTTAAAAGAAATGATACAATGGAGATATTTTTTTTTTTTTAAAGATTTTATTTTTTCCTTTTTCTCCCCAAAGCCCCCCCGGTACATAGTTGTGTATTCTTCGTTGTGGGTTCTTCTAGTTGTGGCATGTGGGACGCTGCCTCAGCGTGGTCTGATGAGCAGTGCCATGTCCGCGCCCAGGATTCGAACTAACGAAACACTGGGCCGCCTGCAGCGGAGCGCGCGAACTTAACCACTCGGCCACGGGGCCAGCCTCTACAATGGAGATATTTTTAAGTCATAGCTGAGACATAAGTCACCTGAAATATATTGCTGCACCAGGATTCATCCTTTTCTAGGAATCGAACACAGATTCACATCTGCTTGTGCATGGTTTTTAAAAATTTTGCCTGAGACTGTGGTCGTACACACAAGCCAATCTGGAAAAAACCATTTAAGAGCTGACATCTTTCAAAATAACCTATTTGACTGAACTCAGATTTGTGTAGATACAGCCCAGGTGTCTTTTACTCTTAGCACACTCCTAATAATTACCTTTAATTAGGTACAAAATTCCTTTCCTTATTTAATATATTTCCTTTTGTAAGTATCGGATATCTTCATCCTAGAATATTTTTAAGTAAGATTTAATAGTAAATTGAGCTTGAAGAAAGGGACTTTTTATTGCAATAACTAAGTCAGCATCCTAAAAGAAGATTCATTGCTTTAATTAATACTTTCGAGAATTAATAAAAATAATTTTGCTGTTTAGCTTTCATCTTTATGCCTTTCAGACATACTAGATGCTAGAGTAGGCAAATAAAAATGGTTGTCATTATATAAATAACTTTACTTAACTTTTTAGCCCTAAAAAGTTTTCTTTTTTTATAATATTTTTTCCTATTATTGAAAAATTGGGCATTAATCAACCATAAATGAGACAGATGTCAATCAAGTGTTCATTGTAGATCATATTATTTTGCTACTTAGACAATCTTATGTTGCTAATTAGAGACAATATTGTTTTTTTTAAGATTTTATTTTCCCTTTTCTCCCAAAGTCCTCCGGTACATAGTTGTGTATTTTTAGTTGTGGGTCCTTCTAGTCGTAGCATGTGGGATGCCGCCTCAGCATGGCTTGATGAGCGGTGCCATGTCCACGTCCATATCCATGCCCAGGATTTGAATGGCGAGACCCTGGGCCACCAAAGCAGAGCTTGAGAACTTAACCAGTTGGCCACCGGGCTGGCCCCATAGAGATAACACTTTTAAAGAATGGAATACTCATATAAAATTCAAACAATTGTATTATTCTCTTAGTACTTCAGTTAGCAAAGGCCACTTAATTAGCCATGAGGCAGTGACCTGGTCAGCCTGGGGGTGTTCTTTAGTTTTCAAGATAGAGAATTTCTGTATTAAGGAAGAATAAGACTCTCAATTGTTCAAGAGGTGAAGAGTTTAAAGCCCGAAAATCATCTGTTACATTGAGGTTTCTCACCCTCCTGCATCCTATTATTGCCCTCAAGTTCCAAGAAATACAACACAGGTCATTAAATCTCTGTTTTGGGATAGGACTTCTTCACAAACCCCTATTAGTCTCCTTTTCCTGGTAAAAGGATTTGGACAATCTAGAAGAAAAACTCGAGGCTTAATTTGTTATTTCTCTTAATTAGAGAATACATTTTCAGCATTGAGCTTCTGGATCTTTTTTCCTCTAGATTTCACCAATTAGGGGGCCAGAATCAAAGACTGTCCTGCATGTAGGGCCTGCTGGAAGACTAGCATGAAAGCACTTCAAGCATTTAAAGGGGATGCTTTGGAGCACCAAAGTCCCAGAAAACTAGGAACCTTAAGCTCAAGATCTTAGTGTCTCAGGTGAAAAATATCAAGAAGTTACCCAAAATGTATTCAACAGTTTTGCTTCTCTCCTTCCCTTCAGAAAGTGCACTCTTTCAAATAAATCATTTTTTCCTCCAATAGATGAGGAGCAGCTGCTTGGAATTCAATTTGGAGACAGAGTTACGAGCTTTTTGAGCATGAGCAACGAACTGAGAGGCCCTAGTTGAATATTGCTGCCCTGCACCATCCTGACTCTCAGATTACAAATTACATATATTTTACATCATGGCCTAGTTTAAACAATTAGCCATTCTCAAATATCTCTAAGCAAATAGGTATTTCTTGCGTGCCACCGCTGATTGTTCGGTTGTGGATGTTTGGAGGCTGATCTAACCAGCACAGAGAGCCAAGGCCAATTAGCAAGGTCTGCCAGGGGAGAGGAGACGGAAGAAGATGCCCACACGCTGTATCACCCTTCCCGCCTTAGAGAGAGAGAATTTCCTTTCGGAATCTTGGTTCATGATATTACGTGCTACATGAAAATAGACATTTTTACTACTTGCAAAGGATATATGGGTAAAGATAACATATACGTATTTTTGGTCCCCAAGCAGAGAGAAAATCAACCTGTTACTCTAAAGAGTGACCAGGAGTGAGAGTTTGATAAGAGAACTGCTCAGTATGCACAGAGCATAGGACTAGCCAGTCTCAATGTTCAAAGTTTAATATTTGCCAAATTCTATTCCTTTCATAGGTAACTTAAGAAAATGAAGCCAATAAAGATCCATTAAAGGAAGATAAATGCTCTCTAGTAAGGCTGTATGCACTCTATCTTTGAATGGATGGAAATCACATCTGCTTCTTTGTTCCTCTCTGTAACCCTAGGAGTTGAGAACATCTCCAAATTTCCTTCACCCTCAGTGGGGTATTAGTAGGGGTCTGGAATTGGCCACCCCAAGATATGCCTCTTTGGCATGAGGATTATTTGAGGCTGACTGCTTTTGATAAACTGGGACAGGGAAGGAGGCTCTGAAAAGTAGAATTTACTTACCCTTCGTAAGAGACATTTACATTGTAAAGGAACTCTCCATCTGTAAAGATATCTCTAGAAACTCTTAATCAATGGGTAAGGCAAGGACTTAAATCTGCATTTGTTTATTGTGCTTGTCAGGCAACCTCCTGTAACTGACTTCCCTCCCCCTCCCAATGTTGGCATTTCCTTCAGGATTAAGCATCTTTCCTTAGGCTAGGAACTGATTGCTGTGTTCACCTGTGACCACCCAGCTCCAGACAATAGAATTGCCTCCTGCTACGCCCCTCCAAGATAGCAGACCCACTATGTGCTGTGTCCATCAAGCGCTGTGCCAACAGGGAAATCTTGTGACTACTGTGGGAGGGACATTTCAATCATATGTGAAATATCCTGTTTGGGTGTATATAACCACTCTGTGCACCCCACTTCTTTGGTGCCCTTTCTTCCTTTGGGAAGAAAGGCCCTGGGCCATAGGTCCTCATAAAGCTTTGTTTAATTTTCTCTTGCTATTCTGTCTCATGTGAATTTAATTCGTTCTCTGGCCAGACGAACCCACTTTGGATAGAGGAAAGGTCTTCCTCCCCTACAGTTTGAAGAAGACATCCTTGAGAAATTCTTTCAGAATTTTGTTGTCTCTATCTGATAATGTTCTTACATATCAGACTATATACTTAATAAAAGATATTTTCTATGATGTTTTATAATTGAAGAAAATATGAATATATATCACCTGATACTTGATATGACTAGATCACAAAAGATGGTACAAAGTTCTGAACTTGACATATCTAGTTAAAGAATATGAGTTAGTGTGCTATAAGGTATTTCCTAGACCTCTTCTCTTGAAATGAAAATAAAATAGTTTTTAGATGAATTTGAGAGCCCAGCTTCATCAAACTTTAATGCACAATAGCAGTCTCCATATTGCATTGAAACCTGGGGTTTCCCTGCTGGATTTTAGCATTTGAAGCATAGAACTCATATTTCCATATAATGCATCTGAACATCTTTCTGCCTTATGTGTCTGAGAGAATCTGCTCATTACCTTGTCAAGAGATTGGTCAGACAGGAAGTGGAAAGCGTTTGCTGAAGAAAGAGGTGCACACAGCTATCTATCAGTTAATGGGAGAGAACTTTTTGACTGTCGGAAGAGTTAACACAATGTGGCCATTATGTCAAATTGAATGTTATGCTATACTTAGCAATTCCAGAAGCATTTACTACAATATGAATCCTGGTACACACATTATCTTGGAAATACATAAAATTCTAAGAAAAATCATCAATAGGCAACAATTTATCATTCTATCCTCCCAGAGACAATGCTTTAAAATGAATTTTTACCCATTCCTTAATTACCCACACAAGTGAATAGACACACACAAACTCACACTCACACAACCACACTCAGGGAAAATGAAATATAAAGAAAGAGAGAGGGGGAGAGTTATATTCTCAAAGTGCAGACATGGAGGGGAGGGGCATATATTCTATTTTGAAGGTAGACATAAATGCTCGATTAACCTATTTCTCATGTCTTTTTTTTTTCCTGAGGAAGATTCGCCCTAGCTAACATCTGCTGCCGATCTTCCTTTTGTGTATGTGAGCCACCACCTCAGCATGGCCACTGACAGATTAGTGGTGTAGATTCATACCCAGGAACTGAACCTGGGCCTCCAAAGCAGAGCACGCTGGACTTAATCACTAGGCCACCGGGGCAGGCCTTCTCATGTCTTTTTTTACAACTACATATAGTGACAAATCTTCCTATTAAGAAGGGTCACAGAACAACAGATATGTAAAATAGCAAAATGAAAACACCTCAACAGGTGTATAATTTTTAATTTGCATGAAATGAATGGGAATGTGGAAAGCACATTTTGAACAGCATGAAAAGCCCTTGAATTAGGAAATCTATGAGTTAGAATGGTTTTAGAAACATTCTATAGATTGATTTAAGGAATTCAGGACAGACTTTCCCCACTGCACACACTCAAACACTGTGAAGCCTGATACTTTGTAGTTGAAGAATTAGTTCTTTAAGGTAGATATAGTTCATCTCTCACATTTCTTTTTGGAAAGCATAAATGCCTTTAGGAAGGCACATTTGAGAAACAACCACCTTGAGGACTGCACAAAAAAACTGAGAGAGATCGTCGGGGGATAGGAAGGTAGTAGAGTCCTAAATCTTGAGTCGGCATGTGAGGACTTGGAGCTGCTGATATCTGAGTAGAGTGAAGTCTGAGAGATTTGCTCGGTTCCAGACAAATGTTAGCCGCAGGTAGTATGGGAGAAAGGAAATGTCAAGCTCAGAATGCTTTGAAAATTACATCAAACATTCGGAAAAAGTAAATCAAAATTAGGGAGAAAGCAAATATTTATAACATATTTCTACTTGTTTAATTCCATTGGACTAAATTAAGTTGCTCATCACTTTAACAAGGCAAAGTTTTTATGTTGACAATTTTTCTTTAACTTTTTACTTTAAAATAATTTTGGACTTCTAGAGAAGTTGCAATGATAGAACAGAGTCCACATACACCCCTCACTCAGCTTCTTCTAAGGGTAAAATTTCAGGTAATCATGAGAAAATTACCAAATATCAATTATCAATAATCAATACATTGTCAATACTAAGAAATTAACATTGGTGCAATATCATTAATTAAACTACAGTTTTTATTCAGATTTACCCAGTTTTTACACTAATGTTCTTTATCTATTCCAGAATTCAATATAGGATACCATGTTGCATTTAGTTCTCACGTCTCTTTAGTCTCCTCCCAACTGTGATAAATATTTGGTGTCTTTCATTATCTTGACACTCTGAAGAGTACTGGTTGGCATTTTGCAGAATGTCCCTCAGTTTGGTTACTCTGATGTTTTCTCAGGATTAGATTGAATTTATGGATTGGGGGAATGAATAATACAGAGCTGATATGCCCTTCTCTTCCTATCATATCAGCAGTACATTATATCAATATGTCTTCTCACTGGTGATATCAACCTTAATTTCTTGCTTATGATAGTTTCTGTCATGTTTCTCTACTGTCAAGTTACTACTTTTCCTTTTTCACGCTCTATTCATTAGCAGTGAGTTGCTAGGTCCAGTCCATACTAAAGGGGAGAGAAATTAAACTCTATCTCTAGTGGGTGGAATAGCAAAGAATTTGTGAACATATGTTAAAATCACCACAACAATAAATACATATTTGGGAGGAGATATTTTGAGGATATGCAAATATCCTGTTTCTATTTCAAAATTGTCCCACTTATTTTAATATAAATCAATAGATCTCACCTACAGCAATCATTACTATGGTGTTTTGACGGTAGTTTTCTATTTCCCTCATTCCTATATTTATTACTTTGAATTCTTCTGTAAGGAAGGATTGCTCCTCCCCCTTTATATATGTACCAAATCATTTATTTATATCAATATTGACTCATGGATATTTACTTTATTCTTTGCGTTACAATTCAGTACTATCAATATTTATTTTGCAGCTCAAATTGTTCCAATTTTAGTCACTGGGAGCTCTTTGGGGTAGTTTCTGAATCCTTTTGACATGTCCCTCATGCATTTTTTTTTCAGCACTTCTTTGCATCTTGGCACCACAAGATATTCAGACTCACCTTGCCCTTGCCCAGTCCTAGAATCAGTCACTTCTTCAAGAACACCTGGCTGCTCTTATTGGAGAATGGTATTAGAAACCAAGATCTGGGTGCTGGATGTGCTCATTGCTACCGGGCTGTCAGTGTTTCTGGGCTTCTCAGCAGACAGTGTTAGGGAAGGTATGCATGTATATTAACCCATGTATACACACTTGTCTAATTTTATTTCCCTATATATCTGTATATAGATGAAAATCAACATGAATTCATATTGATATTTCCAACTCTAATCAAACACCTCACAGTTAATTCTAGCATTTTGCCTTTGCTTATTTGTAGTTTCTTTCTTAGACCATGGGAAAACTTTATCTCATTATCTATATTTACTTATTTGTTCAATCCTAGTATATATGTAACATTAGTTTCAGAATTGCCAACCATAATTTTATGAGAAACTAACTTAACTAAAGTACAGTTCATTTTTATCTTTAGCCTTACAGTATCAAATCAAAAGACAATTTTATAAAGTTCCTTAGATCAGCTCCTTTCTTCTTAACTCTTTTTGGTGTGGTTATATGATTAATTTGTTACACAGTTAGATTCATTTGTCACAGTCTGCATTCCATCTTGGGTGTCCCTGACATTTTATTCGATTTTTTAAAATTTGCGTACAATAAAGTTCACTTTTTATGGTGTACATGTCTATGGGTTTTGACAAAGGCATAGAGTCATGCACCCACTACCACGTACCATGCAGAATAGTTCCATCATCCCCAAAGTTCCCAGCAAAGTATTTTGGAACAAACAAATAAACAAAAACAATAGCAACACTTTAAGCTTTTAATCAAATTCCTAAAACATGCCTGTGAAGTGCCTGCCAGTTTGGACTGCGATTGGCTCTGAATGGATCCTGCTATTTGCGGGGAACCTAACACTCAGCAAAAAGCCAACAAGTGTACACACTTTTCTACACTAATATCCTTTCAGTCACAATATAGTTCAGATTACCATTCTGGCAAAAATCTTCAGGGATTCCAAAGCTGTGCACATTTCTTGGTTTTCAAAAGACTCCCAAGATCTCAGCCTGAACCCACATTTTCAACCTTAGATTCTAGCATTCCCCTTTTGCCTGTTATAATCTGCCCAATGACTCCCAAAGTGTTGTCCAAAGACCAGCTGCATCACCTCTACTTGAAGTCCGGTGTTCATGGTTACCACCTACACAGATATTGTCCTGGTCACAAAGAGGCCGTGGTGATGATGATGATGATGATGATGATGATAACTATATTTGGAAGCCATTATTTAGAAAAAACTTTTATACACACTTATGACTTTCCCAGGCACTTTTATAAAGAATATTCATATACAATTTATAATTATTCTGAGAGATATTAAGGGTGCCTATTATTACACTATCCACTTAAAGATGAGGAAATTGAGTTTCAAAGATTATCTTCAGGCTAAAAAGCTAATAAATAGCAGAGCTAGGAGTTAACCCAAGGTCTTCCTTTTCAAATTTCTTACCTTTCCCATTATCTATGTTGAATTCTTTCAGTGCTATCACGGGGAAAAGTAACAAAATCAACATTCATTATGTATGATCTTAATATGTGATAGATATTGTATAAATTTCCATCATATATTTTATGTAATTTATTGTCACTTTCAGTTCTGTATAGTAAATACTACCAGATGAGGGCACTCAGTCTCTGAGAGGCAGAACAACTTTCTTAAAGTCACCTACCAGATTTCAATCCGAAATTGTTTGAGCACAGAGTCCACCTTCTTTTTACTAGATCACACTGGATTTCTGTTAAAGTGATCAGATTTACCTTTAGCTCTCAAACTCAACATTTTGTGTCTCGTGAAGGTGAACATTTTGGTTCTGATGAAGGATCAGCCGAGATTCTAATAGCCACTAAATGAGAACAGATTTGATGCTATGTGAAAGGGTGAGCTTCATATTCATTCTATTTTCTGGAGCAGGAAAGATTCTCCTGACTTTTGCCTCCTAGGCTCTTGAAGGCTGGACAAATCTCAAGAGCTCTAAAAAAGAGTGTAGCTTTTGCCAGCTAGATAGAGCTGGGTTTGAATCAGGCTCCACTTTGCACTAGCTACATGGACTTGGACAAGTTATTTAATGCCTCTGACTCTCAATTTTATGTTCTATAAAATGGGAAACTATGCCATAATGTTGCAGTACGGACAAAATAATATGCTGTACACAAAGTCCTTAGCGCATCTTGTCCATGATCATGAGAGCACACCTTTGGGCAAGCAGCTCTTACATCTCACTGAGCCATTTCAACAGCCCACCTTCCTGTTAGCCAATGTAATGACTGAGTGAGTTCAAGAAGTTTATCGTGAACATGAGTAAAGCAGGCCTCTGACAAAGATCAATGGTCTTATTAATTTTGATTCAGCATTTATATTCCGAATGTTCCCATAGCCAGAGTGATTATATGTCCTGATTTGCCTAAGACAATCGTTATCTAATTTTTAATAGGGCCCCTTTTTACTCTCAAAAGTTACCCAATTTGGATGATAAACTATGTGATCACACTATTTAAAAGGGCTTTTCTTCTTCTGCACTCACTGGTTCCATTATCTTTTACTCCATAAAGATAAACAGAAGAGACTTACCAAACTAGATAAAATTATATGCTCACTTGAATATATAAATACCAACCTCAAGCCAAATTTGAATAGATAATGCTAAACATTTTGTATAACGAAAATAAAGTAGCTATTAAGACAAATAGTCATTTGAAATAGAAATGTTTAGGGCCCCAAATTTTCTATATCGTTTCTCCATACACTTTGGTGTCCAGATAGCTAAAGGTGACCATGAACCCTAAAAGCACAGACTCTTAGTCCTGTGTGGCCAATCACGTTGTGTTCTAGAGTTTTCAGAGTTGAACAGATGGCTAAGGTGTCATTTTAGTATCTGTTCTGCCTATATCAAATAGAGAAAAAAGTGACAAAATATTCTTTTTAAGTCTTTCTTTCATGAATATGCATAAACATAGCATTCATGAATCACTGAGATGTAGGAGACTGTTAAATTGCATTTTAGCTAGAGTTTAAAAAAACATATGATTAACCATACTTTTGACTCTGAGTAATTACACTTCCTTCTTTAGAGGTCATTTTTTGAATCTGTTCTACTGCTGGCTTGTGGACTGAAGTGAAATGGAGGCATAAAGATATACTAATGATGAATTATTAAAGTTCTTTTCATTCCCTTGTGGTTGAAAAGCTTTCTAGTTACAAGGTAGGTGCCAAAGGTTTGATTCAGATTATCATGAATAAATCATATAGCTTATTTGGCAAAATAATAAAATAATAATGATGATGATAATGAGGATGATGAAAATGAGAGAGTGACAAGAGGAAACTTTCTCATTAGAACTTACTCTGCTATGTTATCTTTTCTCTTATCTTGACGCCCATTTGGAAGCATGAATTTTCCCTAGAATCTAGAAAAATCTTATTTCCTTCTTTAAAATACTGCGCATAAATCTTCAGGTTTATCTTGGTATTTTTCCTGGTTTTAGAAAAAAGATTTCAAACATATTGCAGTGCTTACCATTACTCCCGTCACACATCTGCAAATATTAATAATCTGGGTTTTCTTTCTCGACAGTCCCTTCTCAGAATTCAAAGCAGGCACTTCCAAGTAAGCAGCGCTAGAATCCAGATGAATCTGTATACCTCTACAGTAGAGATTTGCTAAGGCACGAGGCAGAGTGTGACTTTTGAGTTTTCACTTACCTTTAAAAACTGCTGTAGAAAATTACTTGGCTATTTAGCTCATTTCTTACTCTATAGTTGAGGGCTTCATTCTCCTTTCCTTTAAATCATTTGTATAGGTGTAATGACACTTATTTGTTCATCTTTTGCTAGGTTATGCTGTGGTAACAGTCTTAAAATCTCAGTGATTCCAACAACACAATTTATTTCTTGACCTTGTTGACTATAGGTCAACTGTAATTCTGCTCCTTCCTCATATGTCTTCTTTGTTCTAGGGCCAGGTTCAAGGCATATCTCCCATCTGGCTCATGCCCTTCTCATGGCAGAGGGAAAGGCTGAGACAGAGTTATTAATAGTTCTTGGGGCTCCTGTTCAGATGTAGTGTACACCGCTTCTGCTATTTCATTGGCCAAAGCAGGTCAAATAGCTACTGATGTCAGTAGGAGGGAGGCCTTGTACACAATTTAGACACTGATAGAGATGTGTAACCCTCTTACAGAGAGGGACGTGAATATGTGTGAGGAAGAATAATAGACTCTCCCACAGGCAGATATTGCTTTCTTTGTTGTTTGTTTTTTAGAGCACTATTGCTCCATGCAACATCTTGGGATAGAAAGATATAGGACAACCTTCTATTTAAGTACAGTAAGGGAAGATTTCAGGTTTCCTGCTGGCTCTGGGAGATAGTCTCCTGGAAAGACATATCTACAGCTTTTGCCTGGGAGCTGGTAGATAAATGGCCAGTTCATGAACTCAAGATATGGTTGATTTTTCTCTCAATGTTTTTATTTGGCTTTGCACTTGGACTCTATAAGCTAGATCAGAGAAAGCCCACAGAGCATTTTTGCAGAATAATGTCCTAAATGCCTACATAATTTTAATTACAGACCAAGCTTAAATGGATAATTTAAACATGCTCTAATTGTACAGAAGGAGAGTAAACTATCTTCCACTATTTACTGAAAGAACTAGAAAGACAAGTAAATGGTTGCTAGGCCTTTTGCTATCACTTGGAGAAATAGAAGAACATCAAAAATAGTAACACCATAAGCCTGGAGGAATATAGGAGAGAGATTTATTTATTTTTTTGTTACATTTTATTAACAGAGGGAAATCTGAAACAATCAAAGGAATAGAATCTGGCTGGAAACACTGTCTTTCTAGTGTAAAGGAGGTTGATGACTTTAATCAATCATTTTTAGCATTTGAGAACTGGCTGTGGTGGCTTAAAGAAAGAAAGAATCACAGTGCTGAGTGAAAGTCTGGGGGAGTTGTCTCAACAGGTTGACATAAAACGACTTGAAAATGATACACTCTTGGTGTCCTTTGTCTTGACTATAGGTGATAGATGACTATTATAAAGAACAGGCATGCTGGTCAGAAAAAAACAAAGAAAACAAAAAAACAAAACCAAGCTTCCAATCTATCATTTCAAAGTAAATATGTACTTATGCTCAGAGGGGGAAAGAGGAAGGGCAAAAAGTCCCTCTATGTTTATTCAAGATCTGGACCCTTGCTACTCAGAGCTTTGGTATTAGCCCTGAGCTTGTTAGAAATGCAGAACTTTAGGCCTCAGCTCAGACCTATTGAATCAGAATCTGCGTTTTAACAAGATTCCCCGTGATTTGCGCAAACTCTAAAGTTTGAGAAGCACTGTTGTAGGATGACCAGCTCCTTGCTAGGGAATGTATCTTCTTATGTGATCATCACCACACAGTCATAACTTCTGTTTCCAAAGTTTAAGAATTAGGGAACTTGGTATTAGGTCTCATAAATTCCTCAAGATCATATACGTGGTAACTAGTGAATCCACCAGTTTTTATTTGCCCCACTGTGTCATCGTCTCTTACTTTTATTTTTTTACTCTAGAAACAGAGAAAAATGAAAGCTGTGTTTCTTCAGCACCTCAGTTTTCTATAATTCAAAACCCAGAGCCCCCTCTACTCATATTTTCTCTCTTATCTCCCTCTCCTCCCTTAGCGTTCACAAGTACAAAGAGGTGCTGTAGGCACAAAAAAAACCTTGAAAATTTGATCACTGTTTTCTTTTGTTCAAAGAAATAAGGAAAAATTTTATGAACAACTATGTCTTATCTACCCTGGATACCAATAGTTTTCATAAAATTGCCAAGACAACAAATAATACGTGGATATGATAGACTATTTATAACTAAGTCCCACAAGGATAAAACTGGAACTCACAGATCATATAATCATTGACTTAGAGCTAGAAAAGCATTTAGAGATAATCTTTTCCCATGCCCTGAGACCTTAGGTGACTTTCCAGCTATCTTATTGCAGAGCTGTGGCTAAAACCCAGATTTCCTGATTCCCAGTTTGGGTTCCTCTATTTCTACTACATGTCACAATATCTCTACAGGGAAGCTAAGAGTACCTGTCAACTAGACATCATTAGAGAAGCATGCAAACTTTGCATGGTATTTTCAGGTGAAGAATCAATATTGAGATCCTCTCCTCACACCAGCCAGTGGCCCATTTTTGAAAGGTAACCAGGTAGAATACAATGCTGGTAAAGAAAACAGTCCCTGACACTTCCTGGGAGGAAGGCGTGCTTCCACTGCTTCAAGCTTTCTATGAATTCTAGCCAGAAACAGGGTTGATCAGATTCTCATTAAGATTCTCCTTGACTTAATCTTTGGTTTGGGGTTACTAGAGAATTAAGGCATATTCAAAAGAAAAGAAAGGGAAAAAATAAACAGCTGGGGTTTGTGTGCTTGTGCATGCTTCTATGTATATATACACAATAGCTTAAGCCTGACTAAGGCTTTTACGATTCATGTCATTTCTTGTATACAGACTTCAACTCAGTTCTTAGTGATTTTCGGTAATAAGCTATTTGCTTAGCAGGGAAAATAAATGTCTCTCCCTATGATTGCCAACATTGTCCTGGTCTCTGTGCAGAGCATATTTCCTTATCGAGAACTCAGGCCCTCTAAATAGGGCAGAGCAACAAGTACTGGCATGCAGACAGGAACATGCAGTGTTCCAGCTGACTCTTCACTTTCTTCACCAGGTACATAGAGAGACAGAAAAAAGAAACAACACATAAGCTTGAGGGAAGGAAAGTAACGTGAAATAAATATGATGGATGAAGTGGAAGTCAGAGATGTTGAAACCGAGAGAATACTACTGGGGGCAATGAGGGAGCAGATTAGGCAGGAGAAAATAGTGGTCTTAGGAACACTTCGGGTAGGAGTGTCCTCTTTAACAGACTTATATAATTCTTCAAACTTTTCTATATTTTTTTATTATGCATGTTTTGATACTACCTACCTGCTGATCTTTGTCTACAAATAAGTCAAATCATAAAAATACATGCCATAATTTAACACAATGTCTAGCACACAGAGAAGAGGGCCATTGAAAATGTAGGCAGAGATTGGAGTTATGCTGCCATCAGCCATGGGACACCAAGGATTGCAGGCAATCACAAGAAGCTAGGAGAAAAGCAGAGACCAGACTCTCTCAGGGCCTCCGGAAGGAACTAACCCTACCAACACCTTGATTTTGGACTTCTGGGCTCCAGAATGTGAGGAAATACATTTCTGTCATTCTAAGCCACCCAGTGTATGATAATTTGTTATGACTGGCCTAGGAAACTAATATAGACATTTAGATGAAGGGATTTCTAATGATACCTTTAACGTTTTGAGGTATTTGAATTTTTAATATGCTATTTTGTCATTAGAAAAATGTATCAACAAGGTAGGACAAAGTATTTTGCAATCTTTTCTGTATTTTATAGATAAAGAAACTGAGGCACAGAGAAGGCAGCAATTAGTAGTAAATTCCTTAGCCAACTTTTAATAAAGGCATTTATGTAACGTTATTCTCTATCTGGTAATTTGCTGTGGTGGTCTTTGTGCATCCTCTCATTTATTCCTAAAAACAGTACTTTCTGTGAGGTGGGTATTATATCCTCCAGATCAAGTAACATGCCAGGACGTCACAGAGTTGAATTTGAACCCTGGTTTCTCTAGTCTAACTAAGTCCATGCTTTTAAACAGGGGTCAGCAAACTTTGTCTGTAAAGGGCCGGAGAGGAAATACTGTGGGCTATGTGCACCAAATGACCGCCTTAGAAACTTCTCAACTATGGCTGTAAGTAGCCACAGACAATACATAAGTAAATGAGCAAATCTGTGTGCCAACAAAACTTTATTATTGACATTGACATTTGAATTTCACATACTTTTCACGTGTCATGAAATATTATTCTGTTGACTTCTCCAATCATTTGTAAAGGTGAACATCATTCTTAGTGCAGGGCCATATAAAAATGGGTCACGGCTGGATTTGGTCTGTGGGCAGCAGTTTGCAGACCCCTGCTTTAACCCTAACAAGACAGAAGGGGCCAACCATGAAAAAGTCCTGGAAGTTAAAACTAAATATATACTTTAGTAGGATACACTGATTTTACTTATTTGAATTTGGAGGCAAATATTTGGTTTCAGTTTTCTTTCTTTGCTGCATTTCAAGAATTTTAAAAATTTTAAGTAGGGCATCTCTCTTACAGCACAGAATGCAAAGGTGTCCCCTTTTCTTCACACTAAAGTTAGAGTCAGGTTTAATTGGCCAATAAAGTCTTCTGTGAAGGAAAAATGAACAAGGTTTCTGTGTAGAAGGATAAAACAGGTATGGGTAGAGGCCAGAATGGGGAAAGATTTGCTCATATTGAGGAGAAACAAGAGAGACCATTACAGCTAAGGCCTATTTTACCTGGGCCCTAATCCAGAGGGAGTCGTCAAAGAACGCTGTGTGGGATGGAGACAGAAGATGGTGTAGGAAATGTCAGGTGAGTAGACCCTGGAGAGATAACAGCAAAGGACAACATTAGAGGGACTAGGAGCCAACCTAAAGCTGTATTCTTGCCAGAGGAGAGCTCTGCCTTCAAAATACCTGCAACCCAGACATAAGCCAGTGGATCCCCAGTTCTGCCTGCAGAAGGGACGTCCTCATCGTCTTTCCTAAGACTCATCAGTTGACACAGAACACAACTGATCCTAGATGGAGCAAGAGATGTCTATGTCTCTTCTTGACTCCTCTCACCCCATGGAGATAACACATAACCATAGTGACAGGCCATCTGGTAAGATCAGAGCAAGCTATTGCCTCAGCCTCCTATATCTGATGTTATGGAAGGTGAAATGCACAAACATGACAACCTTGAGCCAAGGAAATGTTTAGTGATGCCCCTTGTTAATATCCTAAATCTGTGATTTAGCCCTCATCTCTCTCTCTCTCTTTTTAATCACATTTTAAATTTTAAATGTAAAATAATCTATTATCACTTAAAACCTTTTTAACTGACACTGACACAGAAGTAGAGAATATAGTAGAGAATCAAAGGATTAAATATTAGGAGTTAGAAAAAGCTGTCTGATTCCTTGAGGACAATTTGAGACCAAAGTGAAGAAAAGAAAGAGATGTCTCAATTTTATTCAGAAAAATGCAGATGCACAAACATTATTTTCTTTGCTTTTTCTTGTGCTTTTTCCCCCCTTCATCCCCCTTTGCATCATATTCCCAAGCTATCTACTTGAGATAAAATCTAAGTATTATGGAGTTTGGTGCAGTTTCAAAGTGTATTTTTTATATAGATTCTGCTATGAATGTAGTAGCTAAGTATTAGAAAAATGACTTGAAGGAAGATTGTTCGAAAAGTAATATTTCTAGCAAAGGTAGATAGAAATGATATAGGAATTGGCAAGCATTTGCTATTACTCATACTTTAATCTAATTGTTTGTGCTTTTTTGAACAGTTACTTATGTTTTCTAGTAATGATTGTTTATATGCAACTGCTTTCCTGCTGCCTTGACACTTAGAATAAAATTCAGGTAAACTGTGCAATTGCTATACTGTTGCTTGATTTCCACATAATGGAGACACATAGGAATTCAGTTTTCTGTGTTATTCATTCTAGATTTCATATTGTAGTGGATTTCTGTCATTGTTCAGCTCACAATAATATCACAATATCAGCATATGCAATGTATAAGCTCAAAGATTCATAAAATGATAGCATTTCCATCTGCCCATTCAATCACACCGTGTATCAAGAGAAAAGGCACTGTTGTTTATAGTCAGTTAGATTACTGATGTCCTCGATTGCAGTAGGGAAGTCATTTTATTAACCTGTTCATGAAATAGGCAGATTAGAGGACTCTTCAAGCCTCCTTCATGGGGAATATGCATTCTACACTCGAGAGCCCCAAGACCTCAGAGTATGACAAGCTCTAGTGAGGAATCATTTCTGCTGAAAGCTCAGCCCTCACAGCACTGATTCTGGTCTTTTATCCCTGAGAGATTATCTAGAGACCCTTGGAGAAAACCTGGGAGAGAAGGACCAGGGCTTGACTTCTAGGAGTCCCCATGGAGCTTAGAGGTCTCCCATATACTCCAGATGAGCAAACTCAGAAAATAAGTAATTTGTTCATTATTAGTCAGTTAAATATTTGTTGAAGTTACTATGTGATGAGTACTGTGCTGGGAGTTGGTTTTTCGATGGTAAATAAAAAACATACAATGGGGATGTAAATAAACACTCAAAAATAAAAGTATAAGAATCTGTTGATATACATACATACATATATTTATATATAGTATGTATATATTGTATGTGTTATATGTGCATTTGTCTATACGTGTATACATATGTAGCATATAAAATAAAATTATAAGAATTATATACATTTCACATGTGTATACATATATATGTGTATATGTATGTGCATATAATATAAATATATAACAAAAATATACAAATATATATAAAATAAAAAATATAAATCTATTTCTCTCTGAAGTGAACTGTCTCGTGTTCACAGCTCACACATAGCTCCTTTCTGTTTCTCTTCCAAGATCAAGTCGTGCTTCTTTCTCCCTCCTTCCCTTCCTCTCAACCCCTCCTTCCACTACCAGATTATTAATTTTGTTTCCTAGTTCCTTTCTTATGTGAAGTAATTTACTTATTTAGCTAAGATTCTAAAATTCATACATTACTCCTAACAACAGATAACAAAGGATCCTTGTGCCCGAGAAACATTATATATATATATTATATTTATATAAATATATTTAAAGAAAGTGAGCCAGGATAGCCTGAACTCGGAAAAGAGACAGAAAAAACTGTATCTGAGCAGTTAACATGAGGTTTAGTGCATTTCAGAGCGAAACAAAGAGATTTGTTATTATTGTTGTTGGAATAGTTGAGTAAGTCTCCCACATCCTTAAGAAAAGTTTTAGTAATGATCTAGAGTACTGTTTTTTAAGTCACGTTTATTTATTTTTAAAACAAGATAACCCAGTTTTACTGGAGTTACACATGGTTCTTACCCTCACTAAGTGTAGAGTTGAGATAATAAACACCTGGTCCTTGGATTTTATTTGGGTGCCTTTGAGAGAGAGCTGCAGTGTGTCCCCTTGGCAAAAGGAGACAGAAAGGATCATTCTATGTGAAGCCATTGAGTGGTTCTCTTCCCATTTGAGCTATAAACTGGTGACTTGAACCGTGCTTCAGGTGACCTTCAAAACATCGGTGAGTTCAGGCTCACCCATGGGGTCATTCCATTTTCCCCTTTCTCGCTTAAGCACTGTCTGTTTCTTTTCCAGTGGTAGTGGTTATAGTGTAACAAGCACAAAGTTTTACAAAACAAGGTTCCAGCTTTCTAAGTGCCACTGTTTCTATAACTTAGACTACTTATCTCTTGATGTCTCAGTTTCTTGAAAAACCAGAAAAAAAGAAGTTCCTTTGCAAGATATTTTGAGGACCAGATAGCGTTTTTGAGGACTTAGTGTAATTTGGACAATGTTGTCTATTGTTGTCTTCCATAACCCGTTGACACACAGAAGAGTTTTCCAAGTGGAGCCCATGTTTTAAAAGGATTCTGGGAAGGAATAGCTTAGCAATTTTGATGTCTTTTAAAACAAGCAGCTGTTTCTAATTTGTTGTTATTACAAGCTTGGATGTTTTAATACATGATCTTTTCTTTGACAAGTGACACACAGTTACATTTGTACCCCAATGCCACAGACACTCTCATGGGACTTTTATATTTGTCCTCCCTGCCTAAGAGCTTACTGGGGGTCTGAATGTACCTTTTTTCTCACCAGCTCTGGTACGTTAACCTGCATAGAATACTGGGTCTCTATGGCTTTACAAGTAATAAAATTACCTACATTTAAAAATTGGAAAGTGACATATAACTACTACCCAGTAGTTAAATGTACCTTTCAGGTAAAAAATACGTTATGAAATCTTTGTATTATAAATACTTCTCTTACTTGTAAATGCATACTTCCAGTGGTCAAATTATTTTATGCTGCACAGTAAAATTTTTCCTTAATAGTACTTATAAACTTTGTTTATCCTGGGTACTTATTATTATTATTATGATTACTTTTTAAAGGGAAATGTTCTGAAATATTACTGTATGACTCTAGCCACCTCTTTTTGTTTAATACATGCAGGCATAACAATCAAATTTTATAGAACAAATCATCATAGTCCCCAGAGGAGAACTAGCTCAAGTGTTTATAAGTATTAACCAAATGGAAAGGCTAGAGAGCTAATAAAATATTTTGTTTGTAGCTGATGACTTAGACCAAGGCTTTTGTAATTGTTTGTTGTTACGTTTGCGTGATTTTTGTTGGTTTGGTTTACATTCATGGAAAAAGACAATTTACTGATGTCTGTCTTTGATTCTAGGATGTTAGCTAATTGCCAAATTAAACTGATGATGTGTCAAGAAATAAGAGAAGTTTTCATTTTGAACCTTGAATTAAACAAATGAATACTTTAATGGGTGAAGAGCTCATATACTATGTGAAAATTCATCTTAGAAAGTGGCACATATTTTAGCCAAGAATAGCATTTCCTTATTATTTTCTTCTTAGCCATGAATATATTTGGAGGCAGACTTAGCTAAAGTTTTCTGAAAGTCAAGATGGAGGAGATATATGTGTTTAGTTGACTCACAAAGCCTATTTAGGAAAGATGCCATCACATTATTTCATCAACACAGGACTATTCTTACAATTCCATGAAGAACAAATACAGCAATATTAATCACAGTCTGGGTCAGCAGCATGAATTTACCATTTTTAAAAATAAACAGTAGTTTTCTGCATGATTGACCAAATCGATTTTGCCATGATCCAGGTCAAACAAAATAATTGGTGGAAACACGCAAAACTAATAGTAACAAAAACAATAAAAATATTATAAAATCTGAAATGTGAGACAATTATACAGCAAAGCTGATATCTTCAAAGTAGACTTTTGGAAACCTACATTTTTCAAAAGTCAAGGATGTAAAACTGGCATAAATTAATGTGCCTTGCCTACATGATAGTAATTTTCATATAATATCCAAAATGAGCTTGGAGTGGGGCAGAGGTGACAGACAATTCTTTGTTCTGTAAATTTATACCTGTTTGGGCCATATTTTACAGCTTTAATTTTTCAAATTAACTCTGGGCATCAGCCTTTGTCTCTCATATTAGAACACTGATGATTTCTGGGTTTAAATAGGATTTATTCAGCTCTGTGGCAAGTTGTTCATCAGAGTTGGAAGCTCTAACAAGCCGTCTAAGCATTTGTGACCTCTCTGATCTCCATTCCTTATTCTTAATCGCAACTACTGAAAGTTCCCATTAGGCTTGCAACGCGTAGCAAGTCTAAACAAAGGCAGAAAGAAAGCTGTTGAGATTCTGGGAAATTCTAATTGCTCCTAGGGAAGAAGGCAAGCAAACAGCTGAAATGAAGGCTCTGTTCAGACCAAGACCACTTCCTCATCACTGCTGT